CTGAGGGGGGCTCGGTGCGCCCGGAGCGGGCGGGAGGTAGGCGGGAATCGGCCGAAGGGGTGTGCGAGGGGAACAAAAGCGTTGGCAGGCCTTGGCAGGTGGTGCTCGGCTCTCAGTTTTCACTCCTGTAGGCATGGGCAGTGTGACATTTGTAGGCTTTTTTAAGGAAACTAGGCTGTAATTTGTGGGGGGGTTTGGTGGAAATATTGGCGTCTGTTCATAGAAGGATGTATCAAGGAGGAGCTTCACGGGTGTGAGACAAATTCCTCTCAGCCTCTAAATATAAAGGCTGGTCTTACTTTAATACCGGTTTAATTCTTCTTTTAATTTCTTAAATTTGGCTGCAGTCTTATTTATTTTTTTTACAGTTGATAGGACCAGTCTGATAGTTATGAAGGACCCTAAAGGTTTAGTGTTTGATGGAAATTGTTAAGATGATCTGTAGCATGTGTAGTTTTGTAGATCTTGATTATCTCAATGCTTGCTTGGTTGCTTCTTAGAGTACCTGCGATCATATTTTTTTTGCTTATATATGCAGATTCTATTTTTATATGGCAAAAAAAAGAACAGCCTTTGCAGCATTTGTTAATGATAGGAAGAAGAGACACTTAATTGAGCTTTCTGATGTATAATTTGTTTCCCAGAATATACTGATACAGAATTAGTTGTGCTGTTGTTTACCCTTTGTGATCTTGGAAGTATATGTAATGTTGTTATTCTCTGCAGCTTAGTCAACATGAAGATGGAGGACTATGAAATATTCTGTAAGAAGCATCTTTCCAGAATCCAAGAAGAGGCAATAAAAACAGAAACCTCTTTCACTATTCAGCACAAAAATATCTCCCTCATTCAGTTCCATGGAGTTCCTGTGCTATCCCCTCTGGTAAGGCTTTTTTTTTTTTCCTTTTTCTTTTCTTTCCTGGTGTGCTAAGTGTGCTATTGGCACTAGCTTTGATGTCCGTGTGTAATGATTCTACTGAAGGTACAGTTGTATTTAGGGTATCATCTGGCCTGCTTCTTAGTGTATTCTAAGCATTCCTAGCCTTAATTTTATTAAGTAAAGGGATAAAATGCACTTTTTTCACATTGACTACATTTGCTTCCGTTTCTTGAAATCTGTTATCTTTGCAAGGGGAGTAAAAATGTTTGTGGTCTTAAAAAGATGAATGATATTGCTGGGCTTAACTTTATGTAAAATCATGTTGACATTCCAAACATTTAACATGTGAGTTTGTTTAAAAGTGTCAAAAAAAAGTGCAAATAGGAAATACTGAGAGAGTTAAAAAACTTTTAAGTAAATTTATTTTTCACTTGTGTTTGCAGCTTCGTCTAATGTGTTTCATGGGCTCATCAATTATGTTGTCATTCTATGCTTAATGCAAACAGAGCCAAGCATAAGACTGTTGGTAGTTTGTGCAATAATGCAGCTGACTTCCTTGTTTCAGTGATGGAAGGTGTGAATGGAGAGACTGTCTAACAACGATCTCCAAAAATCATGATACAGATATACAGTGGAGACTAAATGATATGCTGTGATATTTTTCATTTACAAGTGGGTTGATATTTTAAGGTTTCATAGCAGAAATGCATAATTTGACTTGAGACTATTTAATTTTGTAGAACTTTGTGAAACCGTTTCTTGTAGATGTAGTTTTGTAGATCTAGTTTTGACTTTTATCCAAATAACATATTCTAAAGTAGTAACTCAGAAGATTCTCAGATTCAGATTATTGAATGGATCCAGAAGACTGCTTGCATACATTTCTGTCATGTTGTAAAATTAATCTCTGGTTCAAGAGAGATAGTGCTTCATAGAGCTTAATAGTTTGAGTACAGTAAGAAGATAGGTCACAGGGTGTTCTACAGGATGCCCAAACCTCCCATCTCCATAGAGGACTGGGAAAGACCTGTCCTGCAGCCTGAGTCCTGTGTTATTTGAAGTTGGTACTGTAGCATGTAATGTTCATGCAGATTTTTTATAAATGATCTTGTAAATTCATGTTCATTTGCATGTGTGCCAAGAAGGAATTTTGTGGTTCTTCCATGGAAAAAAAATACGTGTAATTGGTTAAAAAGAAACTGGCATTTAAAATGTGCACAGAGTCTCAAATTAAGTGATTATTGTTCATCTATTGGTTTATTCTGTTTTTTTTTTTCTTCCTAATTTATTTCTGGAGTTGTGTGTTGGAATTTGCATTTAGTGATATAAACCATGTTTCTTACACTCTGTTTTGCAGCTTAGCCTTGAAAAGAAAAAGGAAATACAGCAATATAAACAGAAAGCGCTGGATCTAGAGACGTGGAGACAGAACTCCCGGAAAAGAGCTTTATTGGATCGTGTCCAGGAGATTCTAGAAAATGTTCAGGTAATGTTAGTCCAAAGCCGCCTTATGGCTTTACAGAAAACCTCTGCTTATAGATGTTTTGAGAAAGTGCTGCGTTTTAGGTATTCACCAATAGAAACATAAAATTAATAGGAGCTAACTCTCCAGAACCAGCATTTTCTAGTATTTCATGCTATGTTATTTGACAATTGACTATTTAGTGATAATGTGTTCATTGTACTGCATGGGACTTGCTTTTCACTGCCTTTTTGGTATACGTGAAAGACAGACCACACCAGATGACTGACTGTTGCTTTTGTAACTGTGTCTAAAAACAAATGAACAAACCCCCTGGTGTTAGAGCTTGCTTTATTTGCGGGCTTGTATTTTAAACTGAAAATAATCTATTTTCAACCCTACGATTACAGAATTAAAATTACCTTCGCAACAACTTGTAATCCTGTTGTGTGCATTATAATTTTACTGCAACTATTTTGTTTTCTTTGCTGCTTCAATGATGAATTTAGTAGAGGTTTAAATTGAAAAGAATATTAAATGCATCTAATCAAGTGGTATTATTTGTCTTTGAAACAGTTGTAATACAATCTTAAAATTAACCTGTTGCTTAAATAAGTACAGTTAAGGCTGAATTTGTTGAGTTACTAAGGTGGCAAACAAACCCTACCAGTTTGCATTGTTTACTGGAGTGTACATGGCAACAGTCATCTGGCTTGGGATTTGAAGAGCAGACCAGGAACATATGTTCAATACAAAAATAAGTTGGTTTTTTTTCCCTCAAAGGCGTCCTCTTGATAATTGAGTTGCAACACATAGGATAGCCTACAGGATAATTTTAGTGTGAAAATATTTTAAACAAATGCTGGCTAGAAGTAGCATTTAATTCTGGCTTAAATAAAGTCGGTTTTCCAGGTACTTGACAAGTGAAAGCTCTTATGTAATTGTCTCTGGATTAGTGAAGAAATGAACAAATTATTTTATAGTTCCACTTTTTTTATTAGGCATTTTTTTTATTTCTTCTTAGTCATCTATAGGTTAGTTTATATTTTATGCTGAAATTTTTCAGTTACATTTCTTATTTGGTATAAACATGTTTTCAGATTTTAAGAGGGAACTTGCAAGATAATTTGAAGCCATAAAATTACTTTAATATATCCAAATTGCCTCACGAAGAAAAGAGCATCTTCACATTCAGATACTTGATATCAGTAAAAACGCTGATTGGAACATTATTCAAATTTATTTCCAATAACCTCTTTCTCATTGCAAAGAGCTCTGTATTGTAAGTAATTTGTAGGAAATCAGTAACAGTTGAACAAAAAAATTTTATTGGTTTTAAGGTGGTAGCATTCTTCTTTTTAAATTCAGGTAAAGCTTGCAGAAATCTGAGAAGAATGCACTGAAAAGATGTGATCATTTTTTTTTTCCAATTTTTATTTGCAGATCAGGAAGGAACCTAGTGTGAGTGATGTGAACGCAGGGGAGGCTGAGAATACTTGCCCTGATTCAGATTCAAAAGCTTCGACTGACTTTACAGCTCTATCAGATGTCAATTTGGCATGTTCTCCTGAAGGGCATGGTCCCACAGAGGTTAAAAAGACACCAGAACTTATGCCAACAGATACTGCAGGGCAGGTGACGTCAGATGTGACAGAAGTAGTTAAAGCAGCAGAAGAAAATGTTTTCTCAAAGCAAACTGACAGTCACTTCTCAAAAGACGTACCTTGTCCAAGGGCTGCATCTCCTGACAATGTGCATAATAAGCTTGCATCACATGTTTTGCAAAAGCAAGAGGGACTAGGAGTGCCACCATCGGATGAGGAAGTCCAAGATCCATATGTCATGAGTCTTCAGAACCTGATGAAGAAATCTAGGGAGTATATAGAGAAAGAGCAAACCAAGCGTAGCTCAAAAAGTAATTCAAAGAGAAGTATGAGTGAAAGTCATTCAGATAAAGAAAATGATGGTGTTAAAACAACTGACTCTGTGAAAGAAAGAGTAAAGCTTACGGGCAGAAGTTGCACCACTCTGACACTTGATAAACCCAATCTTAATAAATCAAATACACTTCTCCAAGGTGCCTCTAATCATACAAATAACACAAGTATGTCAACTTTATCCAGTTTTTCTAAAGTGGACATACCGATGAGAGTTGGAACACCCCCATTGGTGGATTCGGATTCGGATGAAGAATTTAAGAAGACTTCTATGTTTGATCGTGACAGTAGCATTGTTAGGAGCCTCACAGGCTCTTACGCCAAGTTGCCGAGCCCAGAGCCGAGCATGAGCCCTAAAATGCACCGAAGGCGCCCGAGACCTTTATCAATGGGACACATCGTTATAAATAACCCCGTGAATGCTTACGAGTTAAGTCCTAAAGGCAAGGGTAGAGCGATGGATTTAATCATGCAAGATATTGCTGATAAAAATAACGTGTCTGAATCAGTGCCAAAGTTCATGGTGGACTTCACTATGTTTTGCCCTAGCAGAGTTCCTGGTGTCAACAGGAATTCTTCAGGCCCTTGTGATGGGGTTGGTGTTGGCAAACCCAATCGCCATTCCTTTGGGCACTTGGAAAGCAAAGGAACATTGTCAACTACAGTGGAAGGACAGGTGGTGATGGACAGCAGAGGGCCATATAAAGTAGAGACTAGTAGTAATATTGTAGCTCCAAAATTGAATGAGCCGTTTGCCATCAGTCAGTCTACAGCAACACAGAAGCTCCTAGCTGAAACCAAATCGTCTAGTTTGCTAGAAAACACTAAATGTAGTTCTCCAGTAGAACTCAATAAATCCTACGATGTAGAAAACCCATCCCCACTACTAATGCAGAGCAGGAATATGCAAGAACAGATGGACACTCCAAGTGTTTCCGCAGCAAATGAGCAGTTTCTAGAAAATAGTTTTGAAAAGGTAAAACGTAGACTTGATTTGGACAACGACAGCTGCCAAAAAGAAAGCAGTCTCTGTGTTCTAACAGTTGGAGTGGAAGAACAAGAGAAGCAGTGGTTGCAAGAACAGAATTATCCTGTGGGATCGGTTTACATTACCAAGAATACAGGCCCTGATAGTCTGGCAAAAGGTAAAAGATTTCCTGTAGTTGAGGGTTTTTCTTAAACTTGCTTCTCATTTTATAAATCTTTCAGAAAAAAACCCCAATGATCATTAGTCATTGGTGTTTCTATGTATGTATATATATCAAGAGGTTAAAATTTTATTGAGTGTTAATTATCTTTTTTTCAGTAACCTCATTATTTCTCTAATTTTCAGTTAAGGACAAATTCTGAAATTCTGCTTGCTACTTGAGCTGTTTTTAACTACTACAGAATGGCGTAACTGCCGTCTTAAGAGTTGCTTGTAGTCAAAAGTCTTGTAACAGTTATTTGTAACAAATACTTGATTAAAAATTTAGGAGGAAACATCAGCGGAAACATTATATCTCAGTTTTGTGAATTCTGTATTCTCAAGGGTATAATTTGACAGCACAAATACTAATTTCCCATTTGAATGTAGAAATTGGAATTTAGTTTTACTAAGAAAATTATGCCTTATTCCATGAGGTCTAAGTAAGACTACTAAAAGAAAAGATAGCCTGTGTAAGTGAAAATACCTTTTAATGGGTTGCAAATCACTACATAGGTATTTTCTTCAAATTCAAGATTGTATTACCGCTGTATGGGTCTCTACCAAATCAAGCTCAAGTGGCATAAATAATTTTAAATCCCTCGAGCAAGTGTGGGTATACTATTCTTAGAGCTAGATTTTTTGTGTCCTTATTTTAATATAGGCTCGGTTGGTGTTACGGCTGTTCGTTGATGTGCTTATCCCACAAATATGAACATGCAAATATTTTGAAGGACCGTAGTAACTGACAAGGTTCTTTGCAATATGTAATAGTTGATGTCAAGGTTCTTTGCAGTACATAATGGAAACCTGATATCAAAGATATGTTGTATTTTTTTTACTGATAATGCAAATTACTCCTGTTAAAAGCATGTATGTCTGTGGCAAAGATGTCATAGAAATTATTTAATATTTGATTCTTTGTAATGTATCTTCTCAGAAGATATTTTAAAAACTAAAATGTTGGCCTTTGAAGAAATGAGGAAGAGACTTGAAGAACAGCATGCACAACAACTGTCAATTCTGATAGCTGAACAAGAGAGAGAACAGGAGAAACTGCAGAAGGTAAGGTAAAAAGAGGAAAAATTCTAAGCAAATGCCATGTGCTTTGTGTGTTGTATTGCAGTTTGTCAGGAAGCAATTGGTTTTAAAGTGTTTATTCTATTGCTTTGCAGAGTTAGAAGTATAATCTTATAGTTGAATTTTTCTTTTGTAGGAACTGGAAGAGCAGGAGAGAAAGTTGAAAGGAAAGAAGGTTGCTACAACGGAAATAGAAATTTCCAAAGTGAATATTAACAGTAGGATGGAGTTGGAGTGGAGGAAAAAAAGCGAAAGTGGCTTGCTGGAAAGTGTGCAGTCTCAACTGGAGACAGTCCATAATGCAAACTCTACCAGCATTGGTAAAACGAAGACGGTAGAACATAGATTAAATGTTGTGATATATTTTACTTTACAGTGCTTGACTGGACCAGCTGTCCTGGGGCACTTTTGGTCAGGATATGTGGACAGCTGCTGCCTTCAGCTGTTGACAGCACATGTAAAATAAATTCTGTGTTGCATCTTTGTCTAGCTGGTATTTCGCACAGTTTCAGCTATCCCTGTTACTGCGCCCTGTATTGCATTTGTGTATAATTGTTATAGAGCATATTTGAGGAAAACAAGCTAAGGGTAAACTCATTTGATCAAGGATGAGTTGGTGGATTTGCATTGTTTCATAGAAGGTTCATCTTCATGCCAGGTAGCTGCACAGCAGTGGGCCAGGTGTTCTCATTTGTGTTGGAGGATTAGAAGAGCTCTGCCCTTGACTGTGAGGAAGTACAGCTATAGCTGCTGGAACGAATCTCACCTGTTCCAGAACATTATGAAATGTTTTGGTTTGTCTTTTGTTTAGCAAATTTTGCAAGGAAATGAATCGGAAATATTCAGATTGCTTCTTGCTTATAATTGACCTTGTAAACAAAGCTGCTACCTTTGAGCTGAGTTGTGTTTCTTGAGTGTATTAACATGCACTCATCAAGCACAGATGGAAACTGGGTATTCTAACAGGCAAACAGCAAAGGAACTTTAATTTGACAGTAAAATTGCTGAACTATATGATTATTCCTTATTCATCTTTAGGATCCATGATAGCAACGTTAAACAGTTTAAAACCATTTTCTTTGAGATGCTTTGTGAATAAGATTTTCTGTAGCAATTTTAACATTAGGTAGGTGATCTTTCATGCTGTACCACACTGATGTTTTTACTCCCAATATACAAGTAGTATACTTTGCAAATTGAATAAAAATAGCACTGGGAGCTTCTTTGTTCTTAAACCCCAAAAGGCTTCATTACTGCAACCAGAGTTAAAGTTTATGTATGTGCTTGATTGTTATCTGCCTTTTTTTTTTTTATGGAGTGTTGCATTTGTGTATATATCTATGTATATATGTACATACACACACATAGTCATTACTTTATGGACAAGGTCTGTGTGTTGAACTGTGTGTTTTGCTCTGATGCAGGTTTTGCTCATACTACGACACCTAACACCTTTGCTTCAACAAGTGAAACTTCATTCTTCCTCTGGGGACCGTCAGGTAGTGGAGTTATAAAAACCTCAGTATCTAGGCCAAGTAACAGGATCAAAACTAGGTGGACGCCGGTAAGGAAAAAAAAAAAAAAAAAAAAAAGGTTTATGTACAGGTTAAAAAGCTCTCTAGTTTTTGTAAGACACTGGTAGTTTTATAATAGCTGTGCAGTAATAAATCTCGCAGGAAAGTTTAGTATCCCTTCCTATATCGACTTCGATTACACAAGAGAACTGTATAGGATATTTTTCTTGTTCATATATGCAAAATAATGAGATATTGCTTCTGCTAAGTTAATATTATGGTGGGTACTTCTGGCCTAGCCAAAACTTTATCAACAGCTTGTTTCTTACTTGAAAACAGTGTCACATGATTGATGTTATTTGAGAAATAATTCATAATTCTTGGTTTTTTTATTGAATGTTTAGAAGATGCTTCTTTTCTTTCAAGGTTTTCAGTCCAGAGATACAAGTGAAGTTCGATAAGATCACTGCTGTGGCAAAGGGATTTCTCACTCGTAGACTTCTGCAGACAGAAAAACTGAAACACCTTAAGCAAACTGTGAAAGTAAGATCAGCATTTTTACTATGCAGCTTCTCCTCCTGTTTGTTTTTGCTTGTATCTTCAAATGACAGGTAAAATCATGCATTTTCTGCTTTCAGAAGAATTTGGGAACGTCTGTCACATGAATTTGAGTATTGCATTGCTTAGTGTCATAAGGTCCAAGTCAAACAAAGACCGTATGTCCTACGCATACAGTTTGTAATGATTCCTTTGTTGTGAAGGATTATGCCTGGTGCTTAATCTTATTTTCCTGTCTTCCCCAGGATACTATGGAGTTCATAAAAAATTTTCAGTCTGAAGCACCATTAAAAAGAGGAAGTGTTTCAGCACAAGATGCATCCCTACATGAAAGAGTAATGGCTCAGGTGACACAATTTAAACCTCTTTTTTTTTTTTTTCTTCTTTCCTAGCTATTCTGCTTTTGTAATATAAATACTTCAGACCTTCACAGTAATTTTGTTTAAAGTAAAAGGTTTAAACTATGACTGTGAAGAGAAGATTCCATTTTTGTGCTGACACATTGAGATTTCAAAGTTATCTTTTCAAGTATTTTGTTTAGATCGAAAGCGAGAAGGGCTTGATGATCAAAACCCCGGTGAATGTTAACTTGACTGAATATGTTGTTAAAATTTTTATTATTCTTTGCAGCTGCGAGCTGCCCTGTACGACATCCATGACATCTTTTTTACGATAGAGGCATCAGAAAGAATGAATATTCTGCGTCATGATCGTGAAGTTCGTAAAGAGAAGATGCTCAGACAAATGGTGTGTTATAGTCAAGAGAATGTAAACTGTTTAAAGACTTTAAGTACTGAATTGTTTTGCTTTTAAGAGATTCTTCGTCACTCAGTAAAAAGTTTTTTAAATCTTAATTGCTGTTTAATTATGCTTCTGTAGGTAACTTTTCTTCAAATTAAAAAAAGAGGTCTCTGCAGTAGGAGATTAGTATCTTGAAACTTTTAGTGTGTAGATGTACAAAAATAAAATGAAAAACATGGTGAAAGTAATAACAAGGTACTTATACTTTAAGGCACACAAATTTTTAATCTGATAATATAAGGAAGTTCCTTTAATTTTAAAAAAGAAAAAAACCCTTGAATTTAGCCTGAATGTGAACTTGGTACTGAAAACACTGTTGGTTTTGTTTGCTGCGGGTTTTTTTGCTTGGTTGTGTTTTTTTAAGTAGGGGCAGGTCTGATGAGATTAATCTTAATAAGAGCAATAACCAGTGTTATTGTCGGTTCTTTTGCTTTTTTTAGGATAAAGTAAAGAGCCCAAGAGATAGAGTGACACTTTCAACAGCTACACAGAAATCTCTGGACAGGAAAAAGTACATGAAGTATGTGCAGTTCTCCCTTTGCGGGGAGAGTGGGGAGGGATGAGGTGCAAGAGGATGGGTAGGAGTGAAATAGTGAAAACAAGTTTTTGGAGTAACAGCTTCTTTGCAAACTAATACATCCCGTAGGAATAATGAATTTTAAAAAGTCTTCAGGTCTGTGGTGATCTACTGATAGTAGTTCACTCTTACTTTTAAGAGACTTCTTGTTTGCATGGGAGAAAGATGTGTGTTTTAAGCTGTCCATTTATGCTGTATTTCAGGGGTGAGCAAAATGATCCTTGTGCACTTAGTTTATGGTTGATTTTATAAATTGTAAAAAGTGCTCCAAGTGCGTGGCAGTAGACATACTTGGTAGAGTATCTCTGGCAGAGTTTTTTGGGTGGATGGTAGCAAGCATTATCCTGCAAGACAGTGGATTGAACAGTTGTGTTACACTTGCTCATGAGTAAAAGGTGACAGTTTGTAGTACTGCTCTAGCAGTGTTACATGTAGATGTAGATCCTGTTGTAGGATTTCTCTTACTGTTTCTGTTTAAGACCTAAATGATGATTTTATAATTTAAATATGTTTCAATACTTTTGTTTCACTAGGGCTTCAGAAATGGGAATGCCAAGTAAAAAAATAATCATAAAACAAAAAAATCCTGAAAGCCGGTGAGTGACGATTACTTGTATTAGGATGCTGTTAAAGAACTGTCTTATAATGATAGATTATTTGATCTGCATTGCTGGTTTGCCATCAGTCAGCTCCATTTACAATTGCAATGCTGCATTACTGTCAGGACAGTAATGAAATCTGATTTAGCATGGTCTGAAAAAGGGGATTATTAGCTCATTAGAAGTTAGAAAAGATATATTTTCTTCAGAGTCAGTTCTGAAATTTTATCTTCAGAAATTATTTATGGCTTTAAATCTCTGTGCTTAGGTTCAAGTTTTTTCTTTGAGATACTCTATTAGTATCTCTTAAGCTTCACTTTGACACTACTACTTTTCTTAATACCCTTTACTTTGCAACGTAATCATTGATGTGCTTATCTTTAGAAAGCTATCAGGAAAGAAGTAGCTTTCTGTTGTGAGGAAAAGTTCTTGCTTCGAGATAGTGTAATTGTTTGCTTAGATCACTGAAGTTATGGTCTTCAATACTTGCTGTTCAGGAAGACGGCAGTCCTTCTCTTATGAGGCCTGTCTGCACCTTTTTCTGGTATAAAAAGTCAGATACCTGGCATCCTCTAAAAATGGTTTTAATCCCATGCTTACCCAAAAGCTTTGAAGACGTGCTGTCTACTAATACAGTTCAATCTTCAATGACTACTTTAAGCAATTCAGTCCTTTTTTCCTGTATGTCCTTACCAATAACTAGGAACTCAAGGCAATGTTGAAAGAGTTTTATCTGCGTGCTTTGATTTAAGTAGCAGAAGTAGTAATGCTATTCTGGAATTTTAATTCCTGACACTTTTGCATACATGTCATCTGCACTACAGAACCTGTTAGCGTTTCTGAAATTTGTTATGGGAAACATGATGCAGAATTCAGTATTTCTTGTAAGTTTTTTGTTTGGTGTTTTTTGTTTTAAAGGAAAAAAGCCCTAATAAAAGTTTGTGTTTTAACAGCATACTTCAACCAAATCAAGGACAGAATGCCCCACTTCATAGACTGCTTTGCAGACAAGGGTAAGTGCACAGCGTGTTTATAGTCTAAAGATGAAAGTAAATGCAAAGTGCAAGAGCACAGTAATGTCTGAATAATATTTACACATACTGGTGCAACTGTTGTTCAAAGTAAAAATAGTTACTTCTTACAGTATTTTGAAAGAGTGATGAAACTTTGTTTTACCTTATACTGCAGGAAAATATTTAGTGTTCTCATCCTCTTGTGTATTGTCTCCATTTACACTGTGTTCCAACATTTCTATTTGTAACATTCATTCCATGAAGCTTTGCTTCCACTTAATGAAATACGTGTATTTTTAAATGTAGACTGTGATGCCACAGTATCTGAACGGAATCAGTTTCTTGATTTAAAAATCTGTTAAACAGACTCTGTTTTAAAACAGAGTTTTAAAAATCTGTTAATGGGAGATATTCTCCTATTTAATGTATCTACTTAAACCACAATAACGTCAATAGGAATTGTACACATAATCAGGAGGAGGCTTTGTGGGACACTGTAAAAAATGTTTTCATGTCAAACACAGTTTGATAGTGTCTTGATATTTTTGGATACAGCCTTTCAACTTTGATGCAAGTGACTTATTAACTCTTTTATATTTAATTAGAACCCCTAAGACCTCAATGAAGGGGGTTGAGCAAAATAGAAAGAAGGCCTCAGAGAGCAGAGTGTCTAACAAGGCTGTTTCAGGTGTGTAGAAAATTGGTGCTTGGATCTTATAGTAAATAAGTTACTAGTATCTAGAAAAAGTAAATGGGGAATATATTGTTTTCCTTTTCTTGTGCACCTGCTTTGCTATGTCTTAAATCTAACCTATCTCTTTAAACAAACATGTGCTGGTAATTTAACCATCCACTTCCAAATTCTGTAAACATAGTGTATAGAATGTACTGCACAGCTCATTTGCTTTCACTCACCAAATGCCCAGTCATAAAAGGGTTTGCCAGGTATATTCACTGTAACTGTTTGAGAAGCTAATGGTAGTCAAAACAGACTTGGATTAGAATTTTTATGTCATTTGATTCTTAGTTCTGTACACACGTGTAACTTGTCTTCAATACGAAGCCTATTGAAAAGACAGGAAGGACAGTTCCAGACTTCTTGTTCAGTCATCATATACTCCTGAAGTCATATCTATTGCTGTAGCATCTTACGGAATGTTTGTCTTAATGGCCCAATTTTAAAATTGGAGTATTCCTGTACTTGAATACAGAGATTACTAACTGGTTACCTTTTATTAAAAAGGTTTGATAATAGTGCCAAACCTCCCAGGTTTCAGCCTGTTCAGGCATGGAGTAAAACCCTATGAAACATCTTACACAATTTCCATTTTTTAAATCAGATTTTAAATTTCTTTAGGGATAAACATTAATTTATCAAAAAATAAAAGTTATTTATAGATTTTAAAACTGTTTAAGATCTTAATTACACATTGTTCTCAAAAGAGAGCTCCATAAGTCAAGTATAAAAATTGAGAATTTTGGGGCTCAATAAAAAGCAAATTATAATGTATTAGGATTTCAACTGTTTTCCATAGTGATCTGAGTTATCCTTGCCATTAGGGCAAGTTTTCATCTGCAAGGTTGCAAAAATGTGTCTGGTATTAACTAGTAAATGAGAGTGCTGAAGAACAGGGACAACACAACAATCAAGACCTCTACCAGTTCCAGTATGACAGAGGTTGTAGAAAAGTAGTAGTGTAAGGGTGGTGCCAGTGGCTTTAGCAATGATTTGAGATTTGGATGCCATCCCAAGCTCATATAATTTATGCTCAGCTCGTAATGATCTACAGTGTTTTTTACCTTTGTGTCTGGCATCAGACATCCAATTAAAGCACTCGCTCTTGCTCTTCTGTGTTGGCAGCGTGTGCTGCTCTGCTAAGTAAGTCCCCAAGTTTATCTTAGTCATGATTAATCTAAGTCATGACAGTTGATGCTTGACAATGAAAAGAATCATTTGGGATATATCTCTAAATTTGTTTTTGCCTTTTCTTATTTTTACTGGAAAGCTATTTAATGCCTTTGATAGTGGCCTTCTCGGAACAGAAGCAGATGTGTCTAACCAATTGTATGCTGCCTAGTTCCGGTTGCACAGAACCTCATTTAGTGTTTGGACATCACATGTGTTCCCATGGCGTAATACCGGTACTTCCCTATGATCCTTTGTAAATAGGTTAGACTGCTTGCACTAAATGAATAGAAGTGCATTCTGAAATTATTAGGCAGGGAACACTTGGTATGGAAAAAATAATCTGCCAATTTTTTTTTATTGAGAAGGCAGAACAAGTTCTGCCTGGGAAAGACCATAGACAGAGAAACTATAATCTCCAGTCAATTTGAAAAGAAAATGTAAAAAGCCAAACAAATGCATGTGCTTCTCTTATTTTAGTAGAAGCTGTGCACGTCAGAAAATAAAGACTTGTAGCAGTGGTTTGGTCAGTTTTATTTATAGCTGAAACCATGTCTGTCTGCTATACTTCTAATCCATAATATTTCTATTTAATTTCTTGTCTATGTTTATCCCTGACTCCCAGTTAAATTGTGCTTATTGGAGCGGCAAAAGGGAAGAAGGCTTAGAATACAACTGCTATATATAAATGTCACTTACACATTCGAATTAGATGTGAGACATACCCTCAGAAGAAAACATACTCATCCAACTACTTTTTTTTTTCTTTTAATTCTTCTGATTGTTGTTTTAAATTCTGTCTGCAAAGTGCTTTGTAGCTTTAATACCACTCTGATTGATTGTTGTCTTTTTCTGGCGAGAGGGTGTTTATTTTAGGAATCAACTGGTGATCCTAAATTTAGTTTTTGTTGGTTTGTACTCCTTCAATGCAGAGTTCTGTGCTCAAGGGAATAGTACAAACTAATAAATCTATAAAGAGTCTTTTTTTGTTGATTCTTTTTTGTTATTTTAAATAGGACAGAGATGCTCAGTCAATAGCCTGTAAGCTGTGCCAGGCAGGGCATTTAATGTGGTCTGGTGGTGTTAGAAAGAAGGTGGTTGAGATCAGGCTACTGCTGCAACTAGACCTGTTAATTTCCTGGTTTCTGCCCAGGCTGAGTAAGTGTTGTGGAAAAGAAATATGGGGCATGAGGCACATGGAGTATGTGGGTGGCAGCAGCATGTGGCCAAGCGTGGTCTTTCCCACATGTCTGTCCCGGCTGAGCAGGGAGCAGATTGCCCGTGTGAGATGGTGTGTGCTGTGGAGTGTGTCGGCATTCAGGCCGGCCCTGGCCCTTGAGGAAGGCGTCAGACTTGCTACACATGAGTAGCAGGGCAGTCGTATGTCAGAGGAGCGAGGCCTCATGTAATTGTTCCCCTTGCCACTGGAAAAGGACTGTAACTCTTTTTAATAAAATTTGGCTTCTTCAGTTCCTTAGTCTAGATTGCTGGGGCATTTTACACCTCCCTATACTGTCCTATTCTGTATGTGAGGTTTTTATATAACTTGGAGTGCACTGGAGGAGAGTTAAGAGGTAGTGTTAAGTCACGAATGAACCATTGTGCCTGTCAGCCTGGTTGTTTGTCCTATGAGATCGCAGGTGAGCTGAAGAGCACAGCACTGGAGAGTGTTGGGCCAGCGAGAATGCCTTTTTGTATAGTGGGAAGCAGTGTGCAGATGTGAGGGACCCTGCTGTGGTAAGGCCTCTGGGGGCATTTCCAAAGCTGCTTTGCACTGTGCTGAAGGTAGCCCTTGGACACCTGTAAGGAACCACTGCAACTCTACAAAGAGTAAACAAAGACCCTAAAAAGGACTGGCACTTACTTTGTCACGCTCATTTAATTGCCTGGTAATTATTTCTCTTCTGTGGCTGTCTTCCATTTCCACTGCTCTGCACCATGTGCTGTGGTTTTCACTGCTGTGTGTCAATGTTTGCTCACATTGCTGGACACTCTTGGTAACTGCCTGAACCTAATGAATGCTGAGTTGTGCTACTCTTTAGCAGCCTGCAGTGCCTAAACCCTTATTACTGGAAGGTACTTGTGCTATGCATAGTACAATATGGCTTTCTAAATATATATATATATATATTTGTATATATTTGGTCTGTGTGGATAGATTTATTTATTTATTTTTATTTTTGTACTTTAGCAGCTTTCCATTTATAAGGGCTCTGGCCGATGGCCTTATTCATGCTGCATTTTTAATTCTGGATGTGTATATCAACATATGGAATCCTAAAACTGTCTCTTGGTTTATTAATGTGGCAGCTGGGGAAAAGGAAAGAGTTATCTTAAATATTTCACTTTTTTTTAATTGATAGTCCGTTCAAAAGTAGTACATGGCATAGTTAAACTTATCAGTCATTTAATCTCTGTCTTGGTGATGTGACACTTATCTTTTAAAAACTTGTGAATTGCAGTTGTAGATGTTTTAGAGTAGCAGAAAAGATGGAATAGTTACTGAGGAAGGAAATACTATAAAATGTCGTTAGTTTCAAAGCTATAGGTAGTTTTTCTGAGGCCTTTTGCATGTAACATTATGAAAACTGTCATTTTAAAAGTAGCCACTGAATATATAATACTGCTTAAAAAAAAAAAAATTGTCCTAAAATTTTTTAGCTATTTTTGTTGGATAATCCTGTTACAAAAACAGTGCTACTATTGTGAAATGGTCATGTTTCTACTTCATTTTTAGGAGCATATGCAGGAAGAACCCTAAGAAAGAAGCCAAATGTTGTGACAATTTAAGAAGACAGCACTCACTGGGATAAAACAGCTGTTTTTTTAATGATGACAGTCTCAGCACTGATTCAAATATTGCATCTTCTATACTTATATTTAGAAATGATACACACGCTTTGTCATTTCCAGACAATGACACATTAATACAATCATATTGAAGTAATAAAGGGCTGTGAAGCTCTAATACTTGTGGAAAAATTGCATGTTAAAACTCACATGTTCATACTACTGTGTACACGTAAGATTCATAATGTTGTTTATTTAAAGACCACCAGAGGGCAACATTAAGCTAATCTGTGACTTTTTCACTCTCTAATTCTTGTGTCTGACATATGCTTTCTGCATTACTTAAAATTGCAATTTCTGTGTAAGATTGCCACCATAAATAAGTTGTGTGTATATATTCTTAGTTTCATACCATAATGTTAAAGCAGTTAAATAAGAAACCCTACTTAATTCAAACAAAACTGAGTGCTTACACCAGAATTTGTCAGCAGCCTTTTTGAATGTATTTTCTGTAAGAATGAGATTACCTCAATTTAAATACTAATGGACTAAGTGTTTTGCATTTCTGCTGAGTTGGACAGACACGGATCCACATTAACTGCTGGGCAGACAGACGTACTTTCGATGACTATACCGAAATTGCATGTTTGTACGTGTGGTAGAGCAAACCACTATGCTGAAAGAGGCCTAGGATTTTTTTTTTTCTTGCTGTCTACTGCATTTTCTTATGGGAACAACTTTTGGCCGAGATGAAGAGAAGTGTATGTTCTACAAAGATTTCAGAAGGCAAGATTTTAATTGTTTTACCGTTTCAGATTTACAAATAATTGTCCATAATTATAATTCAGCTAACTTATGTTTTGTTGATGATAGTTGCAGTGCTTCTGAGCAGTTTCTTTTCTACCATGATCTAACAGGCCCTTGTATTGAAATCATGATTTTGGGGCAGGGAGGGGAATCCCTATCAAATCCCTACCAAATCCAAAAAAACACTCTGTCATATTTATGAATATCTAAAATTAAAAGTTCATGCTTATATTTTACCTTGGTCTTGCTACTGCTGGATATTATCCTTTACCTTGAGGGGAGCAGAATTCTGTAACTTCTTTTAAAGAACTTGAGACGTGATGTTAACGTTCAAAGTCCAACAGAGACGAGGTTGGCTGTGGGAGCCTGTGCAGGGCTTGCTCTTCTGCTCTGGACCAGCAGTAGTAGAGAACTGATGACCAGAATGTGAAATGGGTTGTATTTCGTTATTTTCCCAGTACCAGTACAATGTAACACCCTAACTTCAGAAGCTTTGTAACGTGTTGACATGGATATTGGAGAAAAAAGACTGACTGAAAATTTCGTAGTGTTAAATAGTCAGCATCAAAGAGGAATGTAAATGGTGTGATGAGGAGAGTATCTTTGTGGGCAGTGGCATTGCTCGTGGCACTACTTGTGGCCTTTATCGACCACCAAGTCTGTCCTGTGCAGCTAGTGATGTTATTAAAAACAAATGTTTTATACCATGCAGTAAGTTATCCGAATTGCGTGCCTGGAAAATAGCAAAAATGCTGCTCAGACAGGTCTAAGACTGAGTGTGCTCAGTGGCTCTTTACTGTGGCATTTTTTGGAAAGCTTGTGGGGCGGCTCCCCTGAGGGTGTAAATGTGGGAGTTGACAGCAGTGGAGGACCTGCCTCTGTCGCACAAATGCGGTGGTTCTTTAAAATTTAGATGTAACACAGAAAATGACGAAGGCGAGCTTCCAGCTCGCTTCCAGCTCGCACCAGGGCTGTGTGGGCTCCCAGCTTTCCTCAGCAGCGGAAAACCTCTCCAGAGGCGAAAATGTAGAATAACGGGAGTAACCTGTGTCACGGGCGACAGAATGTGCTATTGATAGAACAGTGCTAAAGATTGATGTTTTTAAAGGATGTTTTATGTGCTGTGATTGTTGTTAGCATAGGCAATATATTGATGTAAACATAGGTTTAGCTTAAGTGCTAGTAAAAAGGAATGCTTACCTTCTGTTCAGGTTTCACATCTAAACCTCTTGCTTTAAGCATGCTTCCAATACATGTAATAAACCATTGTAGCACGAGAGTTTTTTTAACTTTCATGAGGCCTTTCTCTTGACAAGTGCCAGAATTTGTTTTTGTATTTGATGTTTTGTATTTATACATATTTAATTTAATCTTTTTATTTTGTGTGGAATTGTAATATCATTATAAAAGTGTATTTATTTTTGTACTTTGTTTCATTTTCACCAGTCTTGCTTTTTACTTAAGACACACTGCACAATAAACCTTAAATCTTTAAAGAGAACCGCGTTTCTTTTCTTTTTCAGGCTTGACAAATCACTTGATGTAAAACTGAGGAGAAGGCAAACCCTGTGGTGCAAGGCCATTTCCTCACAGCTCGCTGCGATTCGTAATAAGGGTCTTTTGCCCTCATCCCCGCACCGCTCTGGCTGTGTGTTTTACCACAGACCCGCACAGAAGCCCTCTACACCGGCCCCTCCCGGCCGCCGCCCGCTCTGAGGCGAGGCGCTTCCCGCCGCGGGGCGGGGCGGGAAATGGCGGCGGAAGGCGCTGCCCGCCCGCGGCGTCATGTGACGGGCCGGCAAGATGGCTGCCTTCCCTTGGTGAGGCTGCGGGAGGAGCGGGCGGGGTGGCCGGGCGCTGCCTGCCCCCGTCGCGGCAGGGGGCCGCGCTGGTGGGGGGGTGAGGCCGGGTAACGGGCTGCGAAGGGGGCTGCAGGTTCCCGCGGCTGCGTGAGGGCAGCGGTCATCTCCGGCGCCCCTCACAGGCGGCGGCCGCGGCGCTGAGGCGGAGGCGGCTCGGAGGGCTGCTCCCTGAGGGGCTGGAACCTCCGGGAGCGGCGGGAGGCGGCCGGGGCGCTGGGCGCCGCGGCTCCCCTGGCCTGGGAGCGCAGCCCGGCCCTTCCCTTGGCGGCCGTCTGGAGAAAGCAGACGGGTCAGGTCCATAACACGCTGCTCCCGGGGAGAGGAGGCCCGCGGGACGCTGCCCGCCGCCGTGGGTTTATTTCCCCTGAAGTAAGCGAGAAGGATCCCGCGAGGCAGCTGGCGTTCGGTGTGGTTCGGCCGGGCTGTGTTCTCGGTGCCGTGGCCCCGCCATTCCCTGAGGGAAAGGCGTCCTTCCCCCGCCGCCGCCGGGGGGTGTCACTGCCGGGCTGGGGATGGCTTCCTACCGTGGGTTGAAGTTTACCAGCGGGGTTTAGCTTCTGCTCCTCATCTTTCGCGGGAGGCGGGGTCGACTTCTAGCGACGGGAAATATTTCTACGGGAGAACTTGTTGTAGAGCTGGGGAAGCTGCGCTGTGCAGGACATGGGATAACTTAAGTCGTGTTGGTATGGAAAGGAGGGATAAAACAGGCGCTCTTTCTCTGACAGAAATACGTGCAGAGTTCATTTTTCTCCAAACTTGTCCTTCTTTGCGAATGAGCCCATTTTTTGTTTCTGGAAGACTTGCTCTTCCCAGGCTAATGTTCTATTAACACACTGAATATATCTAACTTCCAGGTGTTGATGTGGCTGATGGGTTACAGTCCTGAGCAAACTGGAAATCAAGCCTAATGTGGAGTAAAGAAAAGTAATATGCAGCAATTAGAGCCAATCAGAGCATTAGGTTGCCAAAAAGTTCCCCATATATATATAGTCACACTGAAAATCATCTCTCTTACTCTTTCATGTTGTTAATGTGTGAGCAAACTTTTATGTGTAATAAAAAGTGGAAATAATTTGTGGATTTAGAAGTTTCATTGTTAACGAAACTAGTCGAAGTTTTATTAAAACATCAGAGCTGTGCTTTTTAAAATAAATTCACTGGGGTATGAAATACTTTAGAACTTGAATTTATGTAGCTAAGGAACTTGAGTGGGTCGAATGGCTCTAACAGGTTAGTTGGCTGTTGGAACTGTTGATATTTTGCAGTAATTTTGGTGGAATCTCTCAGTGACCTTGCAGAAAGAGAAAGGAATAAACGTGGCTGCAGCTTTTGAATTTCTAGCAGTACCAAAATACAATGAAAAACTAAGGACGGCAACCACAAAGCAGAGCGGTAGGCGTGCTGCCAAATTGATTTTTACGTAATGCAGCAATGAGCAAGCTAATAAGTTGGTCTGGTACTACTGATGCAGAAGTGGCCATGGAGAAATAATGGTCCAGAGTAAAACGTTTTAAGGCGTGTTTTTGTGTTACGTGGCAGGCTGGTTCTGCTGCGCAGCGGCTGTCTCTGTGCTGAACCTGGAGGGCGAGGAGGCCCCTGGGCCTTAGGGTGGGCTGGGCGCTGGAAGACCTACAGTAACATGGGGGTCGGGGGGAAGTACAGCAGCCCCAGGAAAAAAGGTTGTTTACCAGGAGAGAAAAGTCGTCAGTCTGCCAAGTGTTGAGGGCATGGGGTGGTGGTGATGGCAGTGATGCTTGGGTGTGTAAAAAGGTTGAAACCCACTGTTAAAACAGCACCTGCAAGCAGGGGTGTGTCTTGCAGTGTGCTGTGGGGATGAAACCCTGGCTTGGCCTGAGTCTTGTTTTTGTTTACTCTCGGAAGTTGGCTGCGCTGCCGTGGCCGAGATAGGAATGCCTAATCTCCTTTCCCTGGAGAGTAAGTGGAACATAATGTCAGAGCGAGCTTGAACTTGTCCCCCCTATTAGCTGTTACAAACTGTCTTATTGCTTGAGTGGCCATGTTGTAAATGTACTTTTAAAAAACTTATTTGCAGGGTGAACAGCTCTTCTTCATTCCCACGTGTGTATTAGACATGTACACTTGCCCAGTGATGCCTTATGTTATAATTAGAGTACAGCTGATTTTGGCCTGGGAGTGGTATGCCAAGTGTGAGCTGTCGGGGACATTTTTCTTTACTGCTAGTTTGGAAATATCTGTAAAGGAGAGGCATGGAAATACCAACAGAACTGTAACAGAGTAATAAAAATGTTATAATTAGGCAGCCAGAAAGAGTTTGAAAGATTTTTCACCCAGATGCTAATTAACCCACCC